CGCGGCTCGCGACCCGAGTGCGGCCCGGCCAGTCGGCCACTAATCGGCTTTGGCTCCGAAAAACATGGTTCTTGACAGGTTCTTGAAAAGAAATTTGGCTCTCAATTTTTTTTAATCGCCCTGCTGCTGATCTTTTGGCTCTTTTGACTAATGGTCTAGGGGGAGGCTTGTCTAGAATCCAAACTTTAGTCTAGAGCAGTGTTTCCCAAAGTGTATAAAAGTATATTTGCAATTTTTTTTTAACGAGAGGTATTCAGTGTCTCGAAAATTATAGACATGGGTACCCAGATTTCGAAAGTTTGAGAAACACTGCTTTGGAGGGAAAAGCGAAAATTCTCAATCTCTGTCAAGTACCTTCTAGTAAGTTCCAGAAAAACTGTGTTTGGGACGATGACCCGCCAACACAAAGGACACGTTCATTGGTTCAGACTTTAGACAATCACACAAACAAAACAGGAGATCACTCTGCAGTCCAACGGTCCGACTCTGGAGTGAATCAAAATTGTGTCATCAAAATCTATACTACAGCGTTTTAAGACCACTACAGTGTTTTAGGAACACTACAGTGTTTTAAGACCACTACAGTGTTTTAAGACCACAGCAGTGTTTCAAAACCACTACAGTGTTTTAAGACCACTACAGTGATTTAAGACCACTACAGTGTTTTAAGACCACTACAGTGTTTTAAGACCACTACAGTGTTTTAAGACCACATCAGTGTTTTAAAACCACTACAGTGTTTTAAGACCACTACAGTGTTTTAGGACCACTACAGTGTTTTAAGACCACTACAGTGTTTTAAGACCACAGCAGTGGTTTAAAACCACTACCGTGTTTTAAGACCACTACAGTGTTTTAAGACCACTACAGTGTTTTAAGACCACTACAGTGTTTTAAGACCACAGCAGTGTTTTAAAACCACTACAGTGTTTTAAGACCACTACAGTGTTTTAGGACCACTACAGTGTTTTAAGACCACTACAGTGTTTTAAGACCACAGCAGTGTTTTAAAACCACTACAGTGATTTAAGACCACTACAGTGTTTTAGGACCACTACAGTGTTTTAAGACAACTACAGTGTTTTAAGACCACATCAGTGTTTTAAAACCACTACAGTGTTTTAAGACCACTACAGTGTTTTAAGACCACTACAGTGTTTTAAGACCACTACAGTGTTTTAGGACTATCAACAGGATTTTAACGAACAGCTCCTTAAATTTAAAGACGGTTGGCAACTCAAGATCTGATCCCCCATCTCAGCCACTTATAGCTCACTAAAAACAATAGTCTGGTTAACAGGACATACTTCCAAGAAAGCGACTTGCACACCAGGTCACGATGCAGTAGTTCCTTGTAGCCGTAGCTCGTGACAAAAATTGTGTCTCTGTTTGTTGTTTTACATTTCTTAAAGCTATTTGTTAAAAAAAGAAGTGACTGACGTCATCTCTTATATATGTTACGCTTGCGGTGTGACTGCTTCCATTTCCGACTGCCTCCCATTCCCGACCGGCCCTCCCCATGCTCAACATGTTTTGAATTACATATAATTCTCTGTTTGGAAGAAAGTATGGCTCAATAGTAAATTCAATAGAGCGCAAAATATAATTCCCAATAACTAAGCTAAAAAATTTTTTTTAAAAATTAATAACGCAACTGCGTTTGAGAAAAATATTTTCTTTTCTTTTCGGAAAATGAAATCGTCTAAATTTCAGTTTAAAAATGGTGTAATAAATCTAATACACGGGCATAATACGGTTCTAGCAACATGTCCCGCCCAGCGAAGCTGGGATCCCATTTAAAATGTATAGATGCTGGGGAGACCAGCCTGTGCGATTAAATCGTTGTCTGGGACCTTGGCGGACATTCAAAGATAAACTTACAAAAGGCCATTTATTTGGAAACAACGGTCATTTAATGGTCATATATTGTTCATTTATTCTTGGTTACAGATTGGTCAGCTTTTGGGTCATATGTTGGTCAGATACTTTTCTTGTGGGTGTCAGATATTGGTGATTTACTGATCAAATCTTGTTAGACTGGTTGCACTTCCGAATCTGGAGCACAAACATCTTGTCAGCATTCTATAAAACCGAAAACAATATTTTGGTAAAAAGTGCTTTCGTTTTCATGGACACCTGATAGATTGTGTAATTGTTGACTCCCCAGCTACCTCCAACCCTGCCACCTTTGACCCCGACACACTTACTTATGCAGCCCCGTAATTCACCTCTCCCCACCCTGCCACCGCCCCTGAACCTGGCACCTTCTACCCCCCACTGAACTGGACTTACTTTTCAGTTGTTTTCTGTTGTGTAGATTTGGGGTTGGGGTGGGGGGGGGGTGGAATCGTCACTGCGTGTCTAATTGGCTTCGGATTCTGTTGTTGACCCAGAAGTTATATGGGTCACAATTCTAAAACTTAGGGCTATTTTATGAATTGGCAACCGCGTGATTGCATCAGCAAGCTTGTAGACGAAGACTTTATCTGTGGTGATGGCGCGTTTCATGACTCGCCAAGACTGACCTTTCCATTATAAAAGGCCTGTCACTGGCGATAGCAAATTTGTGAATGGACTGTAGTCTTCAAAATGCTTGATCCGTGGCCCTACTTTTTTTTTATTTGGCACACGCATATCTGGGTGTTTCGGGATTAAATAGGAGAAGAGAACACAACGGATTGGCTCTCTCCTTGTACTTCCTTAATAGGGCCTTCTAGCAATTTAAACACATCTTAAGTATTTCTCTAGAGTAGAAAATTAGGCATTATACACCATAAAACTTAGCGGCAATAATGACTTAGTTAGTGATCAATTAGATTTGGTGACCGCTGGGGAAGCCCGCTGGTAAATTCTGACAGACTGGGGAACAAAAGAATTTTTATATCTTTTAGTCCTAACTTTAAGAGATGGGATTTTCCCTGGCCAAGCTGATTTTGGGTATCTGTGATGAAGAGGGTGGGATGTACCATCTAAAGCTTTACAACAGCATTTTTCTTCAAATAGTTCTTCAAGTGAAGGTTGATTATTTTGCGTTTTGTGACTAACTTTCTTGATTGGTCTATTTAATCGATGAATTCTCACACCAGCAGGTAATACTGAAGATTAGTACAGGCTTCCAATCAGTGATTATTTCAGAAATTTTCCCCCGGGGGCGGGGGCACTTCAGATTTTTCGGGGGGGGGGGGTGGCGGTGGCAATGTTCCCTCTAAGGTTTGCTGGTTCGTGTGCAAAATCATACAGATGTGTTCAAAGTTTTACAGCATCAATTTTTGTGTGTGCAAAATTGTACAGCCCACAAACACAAACAAACACTTACATGGAGATTTGCTGCTTTTGAGTTGGAGGAGGCGGTCCTTATATGGAGGGGTGGCATTTTCGGAAAACTCTAGTTTTTTTGTTTTTTTTCGTGGATGGGGAGAGCTAAAAGCTTGGGCTCGTGGGGGGGGGGGCGCATTTACTCCGCCAGGGTACTGCATGTGTCTACTTCTTTATAGTGCTGTTTTTTTATTGTGAGATCCACTATTGGGTGATTCCCACTCAGGAAATCGACGAATATTTTTTTTCTTTTTTCCAGACATTCAACAGAGGAGAATTTTAATCGCACCAACTGATAAATCCTGAAAATAAGTTGAGGTATAAGATTTCCCCTTCAGATACTAAGCCAACGATGGTGGTATCATCAGAGTATACAGGGGCATAGCTAGAGAGTTTGTCGGACGGAGCAAGATTTATTTTTCGACCCCCACCCCCTCAACTCTGAAAGCCAATATTTTCTTCAATAAAATACCACCAAAGCCCATTAAGTCCAACCTCTGGTATGGTGACCGGGGGCATATGTTCCCCCTGTCCCACCTTGGTTACGTCCTGGGCTTCTACCTTCCAATACATCCTGTAATTAATATGTTCTCCAACTAGAGCGTGGAGGGAGTCCTCATTGTTTGAACTGGATGTGAACTCATGTGATGACTCCCCTCCTCCCCTCTCCAACTCCACGTGTATTAATAGTACTGATTTTAAAAAAAAAAATTTTTTTTTGGGGGGGGGGGGGGGGCGCCTGTAATGCGTGATCTCAGGTACGGCCTATTTGTTTTTCTTCAGCGGGAGGCGACTATTATTTTAATCAATAAACAGCCACGGGTATTGTCTAGGATTTTCTGTAGGACCATTGTTTTTAAAAAGGCAGATAGAGTGTAGGACTGTCTGCAGACCTATTGCTTAAAGGCCGGCATTTATCGTAGGAAATAAGAAGTTGATTATTCATTTTTTTTGTGACACTTGGACCCACCGGGTATTTTCTCAAAATACCCGGACCCGGTCTAAAATAACTGCACCCGGTTAAGCCATGGTATTGTTAGCATAAAATGTAATATATAATAAGATCGGAAGTGAATTTGAAACCGAATCTCGCTTTTCTGGACTAATTTTATTATTTGTATATTATGTTCAAATATATTTAAATAAATATAAAAAGTCATTTACATCCTGTTAGAGATATATTTGTCACCAACCTCAAGAGGATTTAACTTTTTTAACTTAAAAGAGCATTAGTTTTTGTTGGTTATTTTCAATCCGAGCTAAATCATTTGTTTCTTAATAATGAGCAGTATTTGTTGTGTTTGCAATACCAACGTATCAGTACTATCGAGTATTGATATACATTCCAAAACATATGTCATTTGATATTTTTACCTATACTATTTTTAAGGAGGTAAATCCTTTATGCGTCAGTAATTTCCGTCCTACAACTAGAGTCGTGTGCAAAGCAATCTGTTATTCGCGCATTACTATTTTTATCACACCTAGCCGGAATCAGGTCATTGTTATATTGCCTTTTTATAAAAACATTTATTTGATTTCGTTTTCTTAAAATTGTACTGCTAACAATGAATATTATGATTTTTTTTCCCTTAGATTGTAAGCTACACAATAATTTTTCAAAAGGTTGACTATTGTTAATTATTTGATTGTAATATCCCGCGTTAAATTTGATTTTTAAAACAGACAAAATAGCGAGCGAAAACCAGCCCGCTAGCGCAGCCAGCCCGGACCAATCACATTCAAGGTTATAATACCAGATATTGCGCTGCGCACACGAGATCCATGACAGGCCGGCAATCCCGCGCTACTCTCGAGCACTTGCTTAGATACAGAGCAAGGTCATACTGTGGCCGTTTGGATATATAAAGCCATTCGTCGAATAAACACTATAACTTAAGTGTTGAAAATGTCTTCTCATGGGAAATACGACGAGCTACCCACAACGGACGTGCTGGTGAACGATATTGATGAGGGAATTGATATTGTCTCGGTGACTATCGAAGATATCACGGACAAGGTAAGAGTTTCTCTTTTCCGATTTACGATAATTTATGTAGTTGCTTGCGTGAGTGGTAGGCATGTGGAAGTGACTTTCTTCTCTCGTCAACCAGGCCCGAGGGCTAACTACTGGACCACCACTCCTAAGTAATGGTTTGCTGACAACGGACAACCTCCAGGGTTCGAAAGACTCCGGTTTTTCCTCTCGAGTGTCCGAAGTCGATGGAGCTGAGACCGAAGAAGACAGGTCACGGCGCTCACTTCTAAAGGAGCATAGGAAGGAATTGGCATCACGTCTCACACGGATTTCTGAGTGCCAAAATGGTGCGTTTAATTTTTTTGGTTAATTTGCTTCAGACTTCAGTCACCAACAAAAATGTTCATAGTTTCAAAAATAATGCAAAAAACCAAAAAAAATATATTTCTTTTTCGCTGTCACTGTCACAAGAGTAGTGTCACTCGATTTTTGAATTTTTGCGTTCTCGTGAGTCCGATTGTTAACAATACTTTCATGACTGTGACTATGACTTATTCACTATCTGGTGAGATTTTGTTTTCCTCTTCAACAATTAGGCTACTCCGTCCCATTACTCATTGCTCCTCTAATTTTGAATGAGAGCCGCTACAATCAACCCAACCCCCATGTATGAATCGTTTCAGAACGCCGATGTATTTAATCCTGTACCAATGCCAATGATAAAGATACTGTTTTTATTGAAGATTCAATTCAAGCACCGATTTTCCCCCCTCTCAAGTAGCCTATTAGTATTAGTAGGCGCCTATTTTTAACAAACTTTGTATTATTAAGTACTACTTATCTAAATTTCATCATCACTTAGCGATAATATCGTTTACGATAAGATAGCCCCACCCCGACTTGTCTAAATATAAACAAAGACGCTTTTTAGCCCACAATTATTTATTATTAAGGAAGGAAAACAATACTCGATTGTACAAGCGAAAATACATCTTTATGCCGGTTTCCACACGTGGGAAACCGGTAAAGATTGGATGATCGTCGCTCTCTTCCCGTGAGGCGCACGCATTCCGTTCAGCCCTGTCTAAACCGGTTTGAACCCGTTAGTCGTACAATGGTAACAGTTGTACGTTGCCGGTTGAGCTCAATACTAAAAATGGCCATTGACGTGTATTAGAGATCCGCCTGGCGGTCTATCCACGTGTAAAAAAAAAATTAATTGAAAACAGTTCAATTTCATTACAATGATTATGATTATTAAATCCCAAGTAATAGGAAGTAGTTCCGTACTGACAGTTACGAAAGAATTTAATCCAACCTGATAGTATAGCCTACCCTAATAATAAGTAAGCCTAATAATAAGTAATGACAATTATTATAGTATAGAGGCCCTGAAAAGGGTGTAATATTTTAAACAGAAAACTATTAATAAAACTTTAGTTTTATGGGGTAAAAATTTGAAATGACAATTTTCGCATACATTATAAATAAATAAAATCGAAGTGGGTATTTTTTAATCGGACCCGGCTATCATAAGTGAAAGGTTGGAATTGTAGGTGTAGGGTTTGTAAGATAAAATTTGGTATCAAATGAAAGATAATTGAATGGACTATTGACTATTTTTGTGAAGTTCTTCAGATTAATTAAAATAAACTACACTACCACAAATGACGTCCCAATAGCATTTAGTCTAAAGGGACCCTGGTCCGAATAGCCGCTGCCAAATAAAAACGCTTGTACTTTTTTTATTTCCCCCCTCCCTTCAACTATTTTCTGAAATAGCCTGACCTGATACTGTAACTGTAGTGTCCCAACAACTTTTGATTGTATGTGTAAAATTCAGGATTCTTTTAAGCCTATTATTACATAGCTATCATTTTAGTTTTTATTTCCTTAATTACTTTGAGGCTTCGTTTATAGTACCCACATACACAATTTTAAGTAACTTAGTTCAGCGTGTATTGAGGATAGGCATAATAATTTTGTTAGCTTATCTTTCAGGCTCATAGGTGAGTAAACATGTATGTGATCCTTATTAACATGTATACAATGTGATACTTTCCTCAGTGATAATTTTTATCCTAAAAGCATATTGATGAATGTTTTTAAAGTATGTTTTTCCGTTACAAATTATTTGTATCTAAACAATATTTACTCAGTACACCTAAATAATGTGATTGATTTGTGCCTTTTTCTGATGACCCCTTTAACACTATTGTTTTATTTTCCCCTTATAGATGAAGGGTGTAAGTGCACACCAAAGGCTGCAACTATTAATGTTATCAAGGTCTTGGGAGTTATCCTGCTGCTCTATGTCTTCATCTGTACCTTGGATTTACTTAGTAATGCCTTCAGATTGCTTGGAGGAAAAACTGCAGGTAAAATTGAAACACACACACACACACACACACACACACCCCCCCCCCCCCACCCCCACTCCCCAATGTGATTTCCATTCATTTATTTAAAAAGGTCCTTTATTATTTTTGTTTATATATAGAGAGAAAATTATGAGCAATTTTTTAGGATTAGGATCACTTAACTTCTACTCTGCTGGTATTCAAGCACTTGATTTGTTTGAGGTTTAAGAATTATTTCTATATTATTTTTTTTTTTAGGCAGTGTGTTCCAGGATAGCAAGCTTCTTGCAAACCCAATTACAGGCCTAATGATTGGTGTACTTGCCACTGTTATTCTTCAGAGCTCTTCAACTTCCAGCTCCATTGTCATAACTATGGTGGCATCAAAGAGTAAGCTACTTTTAGTTTATAATGAAAGCTCCTTTTTTTTGTGTGTATGTTTGTGTAAATATTTTTTTATGGACAGTCTACTTCTGGTCCAAATATATTAATTTGAACTCTTTGAGCCATGACCTTGTAAATGTCTTTTTAGTGTGAAGTTGCCTAAGACATTTTATTTAGGGCATACAATTTCACTAGGTAACCATGGTTCTTTTTTTTTTTTTTTTTTTTTTAAATTTAATTAGCGCAATCAGATCTTTTACCTTAATTATTTTTAAGCTTGTTTTTTTTTTAAAAATTTTTTTATTTTTTTTTTTAGTTTTTTTTTTTTTTTTTGTTTTTTTTTTTTTTTTTTTTTTTTTTTTTTTTTAAATTTAAATAGCGACATCAGATCCTTTACCATAATTAATTTTAAGCTTGCTTTTTTTTTAAAAAATTTTTTATACATATATATTATAACCACCAACTTCATTCTAGTGCATCTCTGGCATAGTGGTTAGGTTGTCTTGGTGGGAATGAGCTAAGTCATCGTTGTTACCCTGCCCTGTCATATTAAATTTTGTCAAATCATTTTATCTCATCAGTTATTGATTTGCATCCTGCCATCCCTATCATCATGGGAGCTAACATTGGTACCACTGTGACAAACACACTTGTCTCACTTGCCCACTCTGTGAATCGCAAAGAGTTCCGCAGAGCTTTCAGTGGGGCTGTGGTAAGATTATTAACTAATTCTAACGTAAAGACCCTATTCAGCAGGAAAAACAATAACTTAAACCATGGGGGTTGGTAGGGATCCTTCTTCAGTAGTATTTCTCTTTGTGGTACATGGACTGTTACTTATGTTTGTTTTTTTTTTTCCTCTCATAGGTTCATGATGTTTTCAATTGGCTAACTGTCCTTGTGTTACTGCCTTTGGAATATTTCACAGGTAATTAATACATATATATATATATATATATATATATATATAAATCACCCTTGTTTAGACAAATGGGCTGCTTGATCAGCCAAATAATAAAAGCCTGGATAATCGCTGGCTCTTCCTCCTACCAGCTAATCAGATTGCTTCTGGCATTTCTTACTCATCTGCATTTAAATGGCTGTTCTATTGAAACAATTTATATTTTGTTAATTATCAATTATTTTATTTTGTGGCAAGCTATTTCATTATAGTAAAGAATTGTAGCTGCATAAAGGAAAAAATCAATTTTAAATGATGCGGTTTAAAGAAGCGGTTCAAAAATATACCTGGTAGTGATGATATAAACATTTATCAATCTCTTTTTTTTTTATTTTATTGCTAATTTTTTGTGATCATTGTGAGAGACACCACCATATTAAGCATGGTTCAATTTATTTCAGACTATTTACTTTGGAAATTAAGATTTTATGTTTCAGGAGTAAATATACCCCTACATTAGTCATTTTTACAATGTTTTCATTCTGTTCAATTTGCAGGTTACCTGTATCATCTGACTGGTGCCATTGTCAATAGCCTTGATATTGATCACATGAGAGCCAAAAACCAGGATTTGTTGAAGACAATAACCAAGCCACTAACAAGCAAAATTGTGCAGGTTTGTTGTCTTCTATTTTATAATATGCTGAAGATTTTAGCGAAGGTGATATGTGCATAGTAACTGGTCTAATAGGTATTGTACCTGTAGTTTATGGTTCTTACTCGAATAAAACTCGTAATAAAGAAGTCTATCAGCTATTTGCAGCAATAAAGGCATCTTTTGGTGTATGAAGTATTGCTAAGAAGATGGTTAGAATTAATATATTATTTTTTTTAAATATTTTTTTAAAATCTACTTTTTCAGATTGATGAGAATGTAATTACTAGCATTGCAGAGGGAAAGATGGAGTTTGCCAATAAGTCTGTTCTAAAGGTATTTAACATGATTCTACTTTGCCAATGATGCCTAAATTTCTCTTTGATTCCCATATAGACGCCAATAACAACTCTGTAACTGTCAAGTGCATTTGTCTGTGGCATCAAGCCAGTTTTAGCATTTTCATATGGTTGTAGAAAATGAAAGGATGTACTTAATTAATTCAGAGACCCTTACTTATAAGTATACCTTTTCCGAAAGTACATTAGACAAGGTATGAAAAGAATTTTTTTAAAATTATATGTATGTTGATATTGAGTGAATACAATTTTAATACCGGTACTTAACTAACATCTGCATTCAACCCAAACATAAATATATATATTTTTTTTGCACATCAAGTTTTCGAGATACTAAATTTTTTTTTAGAATATGTCAAGTTATAGGTACCAGGTACTTTTCATTTTGGTGAATTTCTTTCATTTACGAAGCTACATACCAATTTTTCAATTTTTTTTTATTAATTAATACTCCAGAACATGCTCAAACATAAATGTCTTTGAATCTCTTGGGTAGGTCTTTGGTATCCAATCTTTCTGTTAGATTTCCACCCTTTCCCAAACAAATTTGTATGTAACAATTCAATTAAGCTTAGGGCTAAATGTTTCAATTTTAAGTCTTATATCGCAATCACCGCCTGAGTTAATACTGTCATTACTGCCGCTTGGACATCTCCAAAATTATTGGATTCATTTTAATCCATTTGAAATGTTTCAACCAAAAAAAGAAAAACAGTTGATTTCGAGCGGCGCCTTCTCCAGCATCAGACATAATGGGTCAATTCATATAAAAGATTGAGGAAATTTTGCACCCGATTAATCACAATACAAACCCCGATTAAAGCATGTTATCACACATTTAGAAATAGGAAGCAAACCAATTCATATAATATCCCCATAACCATTATTATATTCATTAAATGATTGGCATTTTTAATGACTATTTTGCAAACAGCAGATGATCAAACATTATGACAGTTATAGGGTATAAATAAAAATCCTTTCAATTACAAAAATAATTATAATTAAACAATCGTTTCAACTATTTGTATGATTTCTCTCAAACTATAAGTTCAAGTTGTTTTTTACAAACCCATCATTGCATTGTCTTTTAGTTCTGTTATTTTTCTGAACAGATGAACTGTAAGTTGCCAGTAGTAAGTGAAGTTGTGCTGATGAATGAAACAATGTTTGATAACACAACTGGTGAGTCCACTTGGTCGCTGGTGAACCGTACTGTGGAAAGGAACCCTGTTGAAAACTGTAAGTTTGCTTTTTAAAATTCACAATTCATCTAAGGGTGCTTTGGACCAGATTGCCATATTTTAATTTCAAAGAAAATTTAATGGCAATTTACTATTTAAAGAAATTAAGAATCTTTATAGTCTAACTTGAACCTTCTGTTTTGTTTTTGGCTTCCACTTGATTAATTTAGTCCAACCTTTGATTGGTGGGCTTTTTGATATAAGAATCTTTTAATAACTTTTGTAATTCTTTCCTCCTTCTTTTTTTAGGTGGCACTTTGTTTAACATGATTGGCTGGAATGATACCTCTTCTGGAATTCTCTTGTTCTTCTGCTCCATAATTTTTCTCTCCCTCTGCCTCTACCTGATGGTGAAACTACTGCATTCACTCCTTGGTGGACAAATTGCCAAAGCTGCCCGAAAGACTATCAATGCTGACTTCCCAAGGCCCTTCCACTGGCTGACTGGATACGCTGCAATTATTGTTGGTGCTGGAATGACCATTTTGGTCCAGAGTAGCTCAGTGTTTACCAGTGCTCTTACCCCATTGGTTGGCATTGGATGTCTGAAAATAGAACGCATGTTTCCTTTAACGTTGGGCTCCAATATTGGTACCACATTTACAGGCAAGTTTGATTTTAATAGATTTTGTTTTATAACATTTTCTAAATAGCTTTCCTTTAAATTAGATATTCACATGCCCACCTTAAATCTAATTATATAACTGCTTTCTGCAATTTTGTAATCTTTTTTTAACACTTATTTTCTTTCAGGCATTCTTGCTGCTTTGGCTTCTTCACCAGATTCCTTATCCACTGCTCTTCAACTTGCATTCTGTCATTTGTTCTTCAATATTACTGGAATTCTGCTGTTCTACCCAATTCCCAAGATGCGTCAAATCGTGATTGGGACCGCAAAATATCTGGGCCGTACGACTGCAGAATACAGATGGTTTGCAATTGCATATTTAGTTTTCATGTTCCTCATTTTTCCAGGCTTTTTCTTTGCTGTTTCATTTGCAGGGAAGGTTGTTTTCATCATTGTCAGTTGCCTGATAGCTTTCATTGCATTGTTTATTTTGGTTCTCAATGTAATGCAGAAGCATGAAAAGTTGAGGAGGTTCTTGCCAGTCTGCATGCAAACATGGAACTTTTTACCAGAATGGATGCGATCTCTGGCACCTGTCGACAGGTGCATGCATAAAATATTTGAAAAGTGTTGCTGCCAGTGTTGTAAGAAACTGAAGTGCATGCAGAATGTAGATGTAGACATGGGTTCTATAGACAGCGACAGTGATATTGATTCCTCAGTTCAGTCATCCTATCTTCCCTCAGCCGCATCCTCCAAGATCTTTCTTTCCTCACAATCTTGCACTACCCTACGCTTATCTGAATCAAGTAGGAGAATTTATAAACCTGCCTCTAGAAGAAGCAGTTTAAGAAAGTCACCTTTGCTTTTGGAGAGGAAAGTTGCAGCCATTGAAGAGTCTTGTGTTTCAAGGAAATCGCCCTCTCTTGGGGATAGAAAACCCACTGCAGAAGAGGCGCAACAAAATCTTTTAAGTAACCCAGAACAAGGGAAAGCTGCATTTTACATATCACCTTCAGAAATAGATCTTCGGAGGCCAGAGCTTGAATCTGAAGACTCAACAATTGTTGATTTGAAAACTAAAACTGTTTATTTGGACAAAGAAAGTGTGATCTGATCCTAGATAGTATTTATAAATTCAACTCTAAGAGTTCGAATAGGAATTCATCTATTTGAACCCATAACTTATTCCAGCTTTAAAGGGATCTACATCAAAAAATGCTGCAACAGTGGCAGCCTTATTATGACCCAGCGAGTGTTTGGAAAATATCCCGTCATAGCTAAATGCCTCTGGTGCGGATCCATCCATCAATGCATTAGTGGAATAATCTGCCTTTCATTAAATTATCTTAAGAAAATTTAAAGGAACCTGTAACCCTCAGCCCTTTTCCATACCCCCACTCTTAACTGTGCTTCCTGATGAATAGACCAATGTAAAATGTCAGTATTATCATTATCGTTTCTGATGTTTATTACTAGATTTTCTTGCTTTAAAAACATGAGACTTGCCCTATGCCATTCCAAGAATATAGGTACCAGATTTTTTTTACATTTCATACCTTATCATTCCACTGAGTAGATTAACATGACAAATTAATGAGCTTCTTGTGACATGGGAGTTTTATTGGGACTTTTGAAAACTTTGATGATTAGGGAATGTGTAATGGGTTGTTAAACTTAGCTAGTTTCCGTTTAATCAAATGATCTCTTTAATAGGGGTGTGCCGGATCCGTTTTTTCCAACCGGATCCGGATCCGGATTTTCTTATGCGAAATCCGCCGGATCCGGATTCCGGTTTCTCCCGGATTCCGGATTTTGGTACTATTGGTAGATACTTCGGTAAGTCAAGGTGGACTACTACTTTTTGTGTATGGGAATTCGCAATCGGCGCCAAAAAATCCGAGTTTTTAATTTTCCGATGTGTGTGTCTATTTATTATTAAATTAGTACTTTCGATATATATTTGAGTTCCGTTCCATTTGGATAAGTGTCTTACGAGAGACGCCATGTTTCTACGCGTTCGCAGCAGGTCATGCAGCTCGCTCAACCTAATTTCGCCATGGGGTTGGCCACGCCCCCCTTTTTAATGGCGGAAGTTGACGATACTTAGGAAATATTAATTTATTATCACTATTTACATCAAAATAATTGATAACTTGTGTTTCAGAATGCATTTAAAGACATTTAAACTGGAATGTTTTAATTTGAGCTTTAACAACCCGGTAGAATCCATATTATAAATGATCAGAATTTACCGTGTGCAACACGTTGTCATTGGCAACCATTCACAGCCACTTGCATAACTGTATCGTAGTACTACCTCAGAGTTTCATTCATAAGAGTTTGCCGTGTGCAAAAACTATTAAACCATTGGTCAGGGAAAGCTTTAATTAATTATTCATGTGCCAAAGTTGAAAGTTTAAACTAAGTCTAAACAGTATTTTAGTGATAAGGCAGGGAATGCGTTGCCTTATATAAACTATATAGTCATTGCGCATGACGGGATTGGTGGAATGAGATCACAGAATGTGGAGATGCAGTCCATGTTAAAAAATGACAAACCAAGTCGTACTTTAAAAATTCATAACTTTAAAACTACAACAGCTAAAAATATGATTTTGGTGTTATAATTCTTTAAAAAATTACATCTTTTCAACTATGCCATTGGTTTATTTTTACAAAAAGTTTAAATTTTCTTATCAAAGTCCCTACACTATTGGCCACTATTAGCGGTGCTGACTCTAGCCTCTGGTATGTACGGAATATTAAACATTAAACAAGCTCAACGCTCGAAACAATCGATTAATGTATCGTGATCGTGTGGAATTCGGGAAAGAGAATTACTTTTATTTCAGATTATGATCCGGTGAGTCACAAAATCTGGCAAATTCCGAAATCCGGTATATTCCGGAATCCGGTTGTTCCGGATACATGTAAATCCGGCGGAACCGGATTTCACCGGATAGTGCAAAATCCGGCGGAACCGGATTCCGGATCGGGGTCCGGCACACCCCTACTCTTTAATGTCTATTTATTAGAATGACACTTCATAAATTTGTTTGTTTCTTGATGAAAAATGTAAAACATTAATGGAATTGAATTAACTGTCTGTAAATGCTCATAATTTAAGACAATGTCAGGGGTATAGTTGGGTATAACTAGTTATGTGATTTCTTTAGATGCTGATTTAACAGTATTTGACAATGTCTGGCTATTTTGCTATCAGTCTACCTGTTAGGTAGTTAATAGCTAGACATATGCACCCATACCATAAGCTTAATAGAGCTCATGTATTGTATAGTTTGTACATATCATAAGATTGTTTTATTTACATCTGGAGAATGTATGTGTTTTTAATATTATATTTTATGTTACTGTATTTAAAGGGGGTTGTGGTGGGGGTATAATATTTATGATAATGGGCATTACCCAATCTGGATACTATACATTTAATGGTAAATTTTAGAACAGATAATTTTGAATTACAAATTGCATTCTCAAAGTTTTAATAATTGTTTTTAATTCAGAACTATTTAGTGTCAAGGGACTTGATTAAAACATTTTAGATTTCTAACTATTGAAAAATGAAAGTAATTTTTTTTATCTTGAAGTTTTAATTGTCAGTTCAAGGATTTAAGAATCTCAATTATTTGTTGTTGTCTGTTAATGTATGGTTGTCAAAAGGTTATTTATACCAAAATGAGTGGTGTGGTTGAGTTGGATTACATGAAGGTGAACTGCAAGTTTTGTCATTAATAAATTTTAATTTGCTACTGTTGATAGTTTGTTCTTTGCTTTATTCTTGTTTGAACTGTGGTTCATGTCTCCTTCATGTTTTTTTAGACACTAAGTAAACCTTGGGGGGGTGTACCTAATTGTGACCAAGGCTAATGCAGAAAACTATTCATTTGATTTAAAGTAAAGTGACAAGGATATTTAAATAAGAGGAATACATGGGGTCCTAGTAAGAGTTAAAGAGCTGCAAGGAACATTTTTTTCTTTCTATTGATTGGGAGCAGTAACATTTAAATTTTTTTGGTGCAGTATAATTATTATAATTCAAACTATATAAGGTACCCTTTTATCTACATCTCTGTAGTTTATCATTGGAATATGTCAAAGTGGCTACATGTTTATTCAAAAGTATTGTGTACAACACTTAGGAGAAAGTAGAATAAATGTAGTGAAGCTTACTATTATGATGGCAGACCTGTTTACTGTTACGATTTTGGCGTAAAATGCACGTTTTTGAGGTGTATAAACTATATATGCTTAAGTTTATTTTTTACTGATTAAGATAATGTTTTGTACGATTTTAAGAGTTTGGAGGTAAACAGGTCTGTGATGGTACCAAACATTTGAAAAGTACAATGCACGTGTAGCAATTTCCAACTGGACCAAAAGGAGCTAAAATTAGCACAAAATATTCTAGAGTGTACCCGTACTTTATATTAGTTTCTGCTCAATGTACTGGCAACTCAAGCAGTTTCCCGGGGCACTATTAACGATCCTCAAAAATAGAAAAAAAACATTGCATGTGAGTGCTAAGAAAGAACAATTGCAATAAAAAGTTTTGCTGGTTTAAGGCTAGAACTTGGTAGAACTAGAACAAAAAAAGAGCAAAAGGGGCGCCAAAGTCAGGCTTGCTGCATGGGGCGCCAACAAGACCTGGCCCTGTTAGCATTTATAACTAGTAACTTCTGTATTACTTCATCATAGAGTTGTATAGTTGGCAATTTCAAATGAATTTATACTGAATTTCCCCCAGGAAATATCAACTACAAGTAAACACTCGAGGGGGAAAAAACATTTTAAGATGATCTGATTTTTTTTTTTTTTTTGTATCCAGAAAATCCCTTAAGAGTCTATTTCTATGGAAATCCTTTAAATTTTTGTTTGAGTTAGAAACCTACAGAAATTTGAGAAAATGAAGCTTTCAAAAAACGCATGAACCTTCATTAAAATTAACGTAAGCATCTGAATATAAAGATTCAGCAGCCATAATTTATGTCAACATCAGATATTTATGTCAAAATTACTTAACTGATTGTTATGTAGAACACTTTTCCCGTGCCGTGAACTTTGAACCCCAAATTAGATTCCTAGCAGACGCTAACGTTTGTTGTGGGTTAATATCTTTGATGTATCCTGTTTACTACCGACTACCAATAAAACATGGTTAGTCTGTCTTCTACTTCTAGTACGTTGAGGAATGATCGCGATTTATTCTAGAAACATAAACAAATGCTGAGTAGTTTCTGGAAGGCAGTGCTTACGCTGCATATATAAAGGGATTGACGGAGATTGAGATTCAGATAGATATTTTTAACTTCAGGACACGTGTAATATTCTTTGTGTACTCATGTGTTTATTCATCAGCAGTAATTGGCACATTGTACTAATGTGTACCGGTACAAGATTGTCCCATACTCTGTAAGTTGATGATTTGTAATTATATTTGTTTTGTACTTTTGTAATTGTATTATTACTAAATTAAATCTTATTAATTGTGATTGGTACTGTTTTGGGGGTTGTATTTTTGTTACTGTATTTCTCTTATGGTATCTTCCTTTGTTAAGCACTGTTTGAACGAGCCATAAATTTTAAATTGGAGATTAATTTCTCACAATAGAAGGCAGTGCGTAACACTGAGTGATGAGATTTAATTTAACAAAAAGAACAGAAAAATGAAGCATTGGAGGTATATTAGCTGATTTATGTGGAATGAGCTTGGTTATTTGTTGCTCTTTTTAAAAATAAAATCTTATGCTACAAAATCAATATTTAAAAACAAATATTTAGTGACTAATTCTGAAAAGCACATTGTGGCTTTTTATTTTTTTGGGGCATGCCTCATGATTTATTAGGAAGATTTCTAGTCCAGACAATAAACTGAACACACATGAATAAATGTATAACTGTAGTGAGATGATAACTAAGAGATAGCATTTATAACTAGTAACTTCTGTATTACTTTTACTGTTATTAGTTATTTACACACCGGTACTGTAACTGTAATATTCAATGAGAATTGTGCAGCTTCAAACTGTCCCACAGTCAGGAATCAAAATCAAAGTCCTTTTTGAAATGCATAGCATAAAATGCAAATTTGTATTTGTGGGCTAAGATCTTTAAATGGATTTATTGATGAATTGATGTTCATGAAGAATATATTTTGCCAAGTTGAGCCAAATTAAACAAACATTTTCAGGCAAAATGCTTTATGTTTGGAAACTTAAATTTTAGTGATGCAAAAAAATTTGTTTAACTCCATGTCTTTGAATTTCTCTTTCAGATTGTTGTCTGCCTGCAAGTCTACTATAAGTCTGTTCATTCCATCTGCATATCAGTAGAGGCCTTGTCAATATCATATGAAAATGACATGGTGAGAAGAACTAACTGGTCCTTAATAAACGGTTGTTGTTTTCTTTAATCTTGAGGCCAGTAAATAAACTGGCAAATGTAGCTGCTTCTTGAACAGATGACAACTTGTCAAAAGTGTTTTGTTCCTGTTTTGAATATCTTTTCAAGTCATCAGCTTTGCACTTTAATTTTAATTCGGTTTCACTCAAATTTGTTCCAAAATTGCCATGCTAAGTTTGAAAATTTCATCTGCGATACAATACAGTGCTGCCAATTTTAGCAGTTACATTCCAATGCTTATGAAATCACAGGGCAGTGCAAGATTCTTGAGAGGAATAGAGAAATATTCCAATATGTATCATTAAATATGGGCTTCAAAAATTTCTATGAGTTCTGTTTGACAATAAGCAGTGGAGTAATTTTTTTAATTTGCTATGATTATTGTTATGGTAGTTAGGCAACTGCACAGTTTAAATATTAATTTTCAAGGCTTTTACATTAATCATTTGAAAATTTGTACATTTTACAAAACAATTACTTTAGCTGCTAGATAGTTTCGCTGGCTACGGGTGTCCACCTTTTGCCAAATTGATTCAATTACTAGACAATTACAAATTACTCACACAAGAAGAATTTTAAGAAAGATAGATAACCATTATGATTTTTTTTAAAATAATAAATTCCAACCACAAGTCATAAATTGAACTTTTATTAAAAAGTTACAATACGGTACATATTTTTTCCCCTCTAGTCTTATAAATATTTTCCTACAAAACCTGATAAAAACCAACATCAGTTTTTAGTAGAGTTATGTCTAAAGAAGCAATAACTTTGAACAAACAGCATGCATCATTCCAAACTGAACTAAAATTTTAATTTACCATAGGCTATGGGCACTGAAAATTATACACTTTTAATTAGTATTTGTATCATAGTTTGTAACATCTATTCTGTTTTTATCAACCACAATGAGTTGCATCAGATTCAGCTGATAGTCTGTGATAGAATTATCTTGGGGACAACATGCTCAAAAGGACTTGCTGTGGTTGGTACTGATATCTTACTGATATAAAATTAGAGATCAGTTTTGATGCATTGTTTGTAATGTAGATGTATTAATAATGCTTTCTTACTGAAGCTATAAATAGCAACATTCTAAGAAAATGTTCACAATCAGCACACACAAAAATCATGCAAATGCCCTCTTCAATGTGAAGTATAAATAAATGAACATTACACATGATTCTACAAACCATTTTTTGAACATTATATTTACATCATAATATTCAAATAATATATTATTATTCCTCATGTGAAAGTAAAATAGACTTCCTTGTTCTATTCATCAGGAGGCTTCTTGGCTGCATCTTCACTGTATAACTTGGGCAGCTTCAGACCAACAATGTTAGCACTACTCTCAATGCTTCTCTCGCCTTTACCTCTGTACAAGACACTGAGTTCCTGGAAGGAAGACAAATATTAGTTATAGCAATAATTTGTTTTCACTCTAAATTACTTTCTTTAACTCTAATCTTTAAAAGTTTCACCCTTCACTTGATCCAACCCATTTCAGGGTGATCGTTCTGCCTAATACCATGGTGAAAAATGAGCGGTTGATTTGTTCCTGTAAATAGGGTGTTTCTATCCTGCAGAATGGAGGAATTGTTAGGGGCCTTTCTCCTGCAGGGCCGAGCATGGGAAAAGTTGATGTTGTTTCATTGGGATAGTTTAAGGAGGGGTTCGAGTTGGTCTTCTTTGTCATTATTTCAGCTACTAAAATATTGCCAGTGCACAGACCTATGAACTCCGCCAAGGCCGGTCTCAAGCCCGGGTGCAAAAGGAGAGTTGGCGTGAGGCCAGCTACCTAACCCGTGTGAGGCCAGCTACCTCACCCGTAAAAACAAATTGCTACAGAAACGCCAACAAGAAAAAACCAACAGGTCGCAGCAGAAATGAGATCTTACAAACTTACACTGGTTGGCATCTGTGAAACAAGATGGATACAAGCTGGACAAATAACTTTGGTCTCTGGAGAAAAGCTAATGAACTGGGGGCATGAGGAGGAAGATGCTCCGCACATGCAAGGAGTCGCTTTTATGTTGTCAAGGAAGGCACAGGATGCATTGATTGGATGGGAAGCACACGGACCAAGGATAATAAAAGCAACCTTCCGAACCAAGAAAAAGAAAATAAAGATGAACATAAAGCAAAGAAGAAGAGAAAGAAACATTCTACAATAGAATACAAGCAATAATAGAACAATTCCCAAATAGAGACCTGAACATCTTAATGGGAGACCTTAACGCCAAGATTGGAAAAGACAATTTTTGGGTATGAGGAAACCATGGGACAACACGGGGTAGGAGAGAGGAATGAGAACGGAGAAAGACTAGCGGACTTCTGCGCAACAAATGAGCTTATTATTGGAGGAAGCGAATTTCAACATAAAAGATCCACAAGATAACATGGGTAGCCCCGGACAACAAAACGCAAAACCAAATAGATCACATATGTATCAGCCAAAAGTTTAGAAAGTAGCTAAAAGATGTACGAGCAAAAAGAGGAGCAGATGTCGCATTCGATCATCATCTTGTTTGGGCGAGACTTAAACTAAAGCGGAAGAAAAACTGGGAACAGCTAACTGCCAAGCGAACCAAATTCAATGTAGCACTTCTGGCAAATGAGCACAAAAGGGAAGAATTCAGTGCTACTTTGAGAAATAAGTTCCAAGCGCTTGAAGATCAAACAGAAGACCAAACAGAAGATGACCAAGTAGAACATATATGGCAAAGTATAAAGACCACCTGCCAAGAAGTTTTAGGATCAGTGAAGCAGAAACAAAAAGACTGGCTCTCAATAAACACACTGCAAAAAATAAAAGAGAGAAAAGAAATTGAAAATATAGTTAACAACAGCCGCACCAGGGCGGAGAAAACGAAAGCCCAAGAGAGATATAAAGAAGCAAACCAAAGGTAAAAAACAGCATTAAAAAAAGATAAAAATGCCTACATAGATGGCCTAGCATTGACAGCAGAAGCAGCAGCCAGGAAGGGCAACTTGAAAGAGCTCTACGACATAAGAAAACTGTCAGGGAGATACAAAAGGCCGGAAAGACCTCTCAAAAATGGAAAAGGTAGATCTATAACAGAAAGGAAAGAGCAAGAAAAAAGATGGATGGAATACTTTAAGGAACTATTAAACAGACCCCCACCCACAGACACACCAGACATACTACCAGCAAATGAAGACCTACAAATAGAAGAAGGCGCACCAAATAAGGAAGAAATAACTCTAGCCATCAAGCAGCTCACATTAGGGAAATCACCGGGACCGGATAACATCACAGCAGAGATGATGAGAGCTGACATAAATACAATAGTCAACATGCTGCACCCTCTGTTTGAAAAGATATGGGAGGAAGAGAGAGTTCTAAAAGATTGGAAAGAAGGATACCTCAGATCCCAAAGAAAGGGGATCTCAGCAACTGTGCAAATTACAGAGGAATCACACTGCTGTCTGTACCAGGAAAGGTCTTTAACAGAATTATTTTGAACAGAATGAAAGTCCAGGTCGACATGCATCTATGAGATCAACAGGCCGGCTTCCGCCAAAACAGATCAGGCACAGATCACATCGCAACACTAAGAATCATTTTAGAACAGTCCATCAAATGGAACTCCTCCCTATATATAAATTTTATAGATTACGAAAAGGCCTCTGATAGCCTGGATCGACAAACCTTGTGGAAACTTCTTTGGCACTATGGCGTACCAGGGAAGCTAGTCAGGATCATTCAGAGCTCTTATGAAAAAATACACATGCAGTGTGGTCCACGAAGGTGGATCACAGATTCCTTTACAATCGAAACAGGAGTCAGACAAGGATGCCTCTTGTCCCCATTGCTATTCATCCTTGCCATCGACTGGATAATGAAAAAATCCACAGACAAAAAGAGGAATGGGATACCGTGGACACTCTGGGAACAACTGAATGATTTAGACTTTGCAGACGACATTGCACTTCTTTCCCACAACCAGCAACAAATGCAGGAAAAGACCTTTTCAGCACAGCTTGGTCTCAATATAAATAAAAGCAAGACAAAAATCATGAAGGTAAACCCATCGAACCATGAGCATATCTGTCTGGCAGGAAAGGCACTGGAAGAAGTGGAGTCTTCACATACTCAGGCAGCAGCATAGACACAAATGGCGATTCCGATGCAGACGTAAGGGCCAGAATTGGAAAAGCTAGATCGGCATTTGTGCTATTAAAGAAAATATGGGAGTCGAAGGAAATGAAACTGCAAACTCAAGTCAGAATCTTTAATACAAATGTCAAAACAGTCCTACTATATGGAGCAGAAACTTGGAAAACAAAAGTGAGCCTTATACAGAAAGTGCAGACATTCATAAACACATGCCTTAGAAAGATCCTGAAAATCAAATGGGCAAATAATATCAATAACAAAGATCTACTAGAAAGGACACACCAGGTGCCCATTGATGAAGATATCATAAAGAAAAGGTGGAGATGGATAGGGCATATGCTCCGAAAACCCCCAGATAGCACCACCAGACAAGACCTAACATGGAACCCACAGGGAAAAAGAAAGAGTGGAAGGCCTAAGAATACATGGAGATGAGAGCTAGAGGCTGACACGCAAAATATGGGATACACCTTAAAGCAATTGGAAAGAAAAGCACAGGACCGTGATGAGTGGAAAGTTCTTGTAGACGGCCTATGCCCCAGACGGGCTAGAAAGGCATAAGAAGAAAAGAAGAGACAGATCTATGAGTTATAATCAGTTATTGTCGTTCAATTTATGGGATCTTTGGGATTGGGCTGAGCATGTGCTTAAATGATTTGTGCGGTTGCGTTTAGTGATGCAAAAAATATATTTTTAAAATCTTTTAGGAAATCTATAATATTTACAATATAATCACAGAGAGTATTATGTTACAAATTTAAAATAAAAATTTTGGTACAGATTAACATGAGAATCCAACATGCACAGTGTCCTAATATCTCCTCTAAAAAAATAATTGGTGTCTAATTAAAAGTGTGTTGAGATGGATCAAATGTTGAAAAAATTTCATAGTTGAAAATTATTTTCAGCTGATAGCAATGACGAGAACTAAATATGTAGTCTCCATGAAAAGATTTGTCACATCAAAGTTCCTGACTAGGTTTATAGAGTGCATATGGAACTACGGGCACCTCATTTCTTCTTGTGCTTTCCAAGTAGCAAAGATAGGTTTGTGCTAAGTTTTCAGCTTCATGCTGCTCCCTGCATATTTTCTCTCCTGTGACCTGCATGCTTCGAAACTGATCCTGTAGGTAGCAGTAGATTGGTACATCTTGCAGATCTTTCTGAAAAATTATTAAAATTTTATTTTTTTAATAAGATATTAAAAGCATGATTTGATTGCATTAGGAGTGGAGGAAGTATGTTAATCAAGTACTGCCTGTAATTTAAAAAATCTGGAACACTAAAATAATTTCTATACTAATTATTTTTTTGTACTCAACACTATTGAAGGCCACTTAAAAGCTCTGAGTTAAAAAAATGATTCTAATAAGCCATTTTGAAAAATGAAGGAAAATGTGGGGGCCCCCCCCTGGGTGCCGTAAACTCATTGTGTCACCCAACCCCCCCCCCCCCACACCCCCCCACCATTCAGAATCTACCCCGACCTGCACCATGTAATTCGAAGACCAGACCATACAGAAACACTTACAGCAATGTTAAATGTTCATAAATTAAGTTTTTAAGCACAAAAACAAAAAAAGACATAAGATGAGAATATAGAATTGAGATAACAGCGTTAAAACTCAGCATCAAATTTAGTTTGTACTTAATGCACTTGTACTTGTGCAAAATAAATGTAGGCTTATTTTTTAATGAGAGAATTGGGAGAGTTCTAGTAAGTCCTACAAACAGTTATGAATTTAAAACTTCAAAAATATTGACCAATCTTTGGCTTCGTCCCCTTGGCCTTGTTCAAAAATATTGAACTTATGACTTACAAAACTATAACTATTATTATTATTATTAACAAAACAATAGAAAATTTTACAGATAATTGGCTGGTTTTGTGTTAGCGGTAAGGCCGACAATTTGTTCCACGGTATAGAGGTCACGGAGGTTCCCCTAGGTCCATTTCCGTCTACAGTGCCATATTAAAAAGATTTTGATGTTTGTATTTACATAACGCAAGTTATTGTTTCCTTATTTTAAATTTTGTATTAAATTGGGGAGGGTCTCCCCTCCCCAGATAATTTATATGTTTCTTATTTTTGTATTTAAAGCGAGGGGAGGGGTTTCCTAGAAGATCATTCCAAATGCAATTTAAGCAGTAGTCTTTTGTTACCTAAGTTTCAACATACGGGTATTTTCAACTAATCAAAATACAGCAATTTTGGCAGGCGTCTTTTTTTTCAACGGTGTTGGGTCTTTTTTGGGTATCAGCAAGGATGTGTTTCTTTTTTCCTTTCTTTTGAATTTTAATACAAATTAATGGAAAATTTCATTTCAATATACTTCATATTAACCGTATCGTTTATGACGTGAGTAATGCTCAATAAAGAATAGGAATGTTATAACACATTGTTCGGGTCCTTCAAAGAATAGATCTATTCACTCTAAGTCCAGTGTTGGGATTCCCCATGTGACGTCAGTCACTGCGCTTAGGGTGAGAAAACTCTTGGCAAACCCATACCATTAACTCAAAATTTACCCAGATAATTAAAACAAAAAGGTGGTGTCTACACGTCCGGTGACCAGACAAATAGTGTGAGAAATATTCATCCAGGCAATGTTCATCCAGCGGGCATGTCACGTTTTATTTAACATGAAGTGGAAGAGTTTCCAAAGCAAACTAAAAGTGCAAGGGGGAGGGGTGATTGCGATCCTATTAGGTCACTATAAATGACACTAAGTCACTCTCTCTCACTTACCTGAGAGTCTCAGTCAGTCTCTGGTCTGAACTTCAGAACTATTACTATTAGACTTATTAGTTCTAAAGAAAGACTAAGACTAAGAGTAAGTTAAGGACTTAAAGACTCCAGACTAAATATTATAAAGTGCTGGATACATGTTTTAATAAACAATTAAAGCATGGGGATCGTTAGCGAAAACTAAGTACCAAGCTTTTATAAATTAATTTATTGATTGAACACACCTAACGCAGCAGATAATTATATACCTTTTTGTAAATATATCGTAGTTCTTTTGAAAGTGACCTCAGGACACGATACGAGTTGGAAGCCATTTTGAAAGTTTTGACTTTCGTTTTTATCAAGGTAAACATCGAATACATATTTTAAGCGTTTCGCTGCTTTTCCCCTTTTTAATTATTATTATTAAATTTTAAAGAGCACCTATTGTAAAAAAAAAAAAAAATTCTTAAACCTAAAATTTGTGCCCGTCAAATGAAGACCATGGGACGCTTCAAAGAATAAAATTTGCAGATGTAATACAATTACAAAGGACTATCATCTCACGGGCCCCTTGATACCTTGTCACGGGCATCCCCCACCCCCTAAAAAAAGGGATCCGTTGGCGTGGGTCACAGGTTAAAAACGCTGAAGTAAATAGTATATATCATTAGCGTGTGAAAAATGGGGGGTGCGGGGCATATACAGCGTACCACTACAGGAATACATCTAGTGTTGGCAGCATGCTGGAAATACTGGGAGGGTATTGGAGGAACAACGACGACTATCGAGGCTCTCAATGATGTACAAGAAGTAAATAATCGGCTGAACCACTGCTCGAGCATTAAATAGAAACTCGCCCCTCTCCTCATAGACAGCAACGAGGCCATGACAGGCAATTCCGGCTCATACCAGCAAGAAGCCAGTGTAGGAACTGCTCATCCCTGCCAAAGACAATCAGGGACTGGAACAAGCTTCGTAAAGTAACAGTTGAGGCGACAACACTTGACACATTTGCTTCTATTGGCTCAGGACTTCCAACCCCTAGTGCATGATACCATCACCAAGAAGCCCTTGCAATCAGTGCATTATCCTCGTCAACATGAGGCACAGAACAATATTGCAAATCCCCTCTACATGCAAAGGAGCCAGAAAAATCAATAAATTGATCGTGGGTCCTTAATATACAGAAGAAGAAGAAGATTCATCGGCACCCTCAATTTCCGCCTAACTTCCCGATAAAAATGACTGTCGATTCCCTGCCCAGTGGCGTAGCTACTATATGTGCTACCATGGGCGGCCAAATATGTTTGCCGTCCTCCCTCTCACGATGCAAACTCTGCAGTGGTACGAAGATGTCACACCTGCATGTGAAGAAGATGTCACACCTGCATGTGAAGAAGATGTCACACCTGCATGTGAAGAAGATGTCACACCTGCATGTGAAGAAGATGTCACACCTGCATGTGAAGAAGATGTCACACCTGCATGTAAAGAAAATGTCACACCTGCATGTGAAGAAAATGTCACACCTGCATGTGAAGAAAATGTCACACCTGCATGTGAAGAAGATGTCACACCTGCATGTGAAGAAAATGTCACACCTGCATGTGAAGAAAATGTCACACCTGCATGTGAAGAAAATGTCACACCTGCATGTGAAGAAAATGTCACACCTGCATGTGAGGAAAATGTCACACCTGCATGTGAAGAAAATGTGACATCTCGGTTGACCACCCCATCCCTCCCCCTATTTCAACGCCACTAGCAGGGCGTATCTACAATGTTTGTCGTCAGGGAACAAGATTCATTTTTACGCCCCCTCCCCACATCAGCTCTGAAACTGAATATTTTCAAACAGTAACGCCCTTTTTGCCCCCCTTTCTAGTCTGGCGCCCAGGGACATATGCCCCATTTGCCACCCCTTAGCTACGCCTCTGCACTGGCAAATTGCACAGCTCCCCCCTCGAAAGTTTTATTCTTTTACTTAACTTTTTATAAGCAAGGGAAAAAAATACCAATACAAATAATGTGCCAACAAAATTCCCCAGAAAAACATTTACTGCTGCTAATCATTTACTAACATTTACTGATGCTAAATGCATAAAAACTGATTTTTTTAAAAAAAAAGCAGCAAAAACTAGCATTGGGAGCAAATGCAATTTTCTGGTCTTCCACACCTCAGTGGACATATGTAATTTTTATGGGGGGGGGGTGCAGAGATTTGTGACATTATATTTGAAGGGGTGGTCTAACGATTTGAGACAATTTGGGGGGGGGGGTAAAATTGGTAATATTGGCATGACGTTATTTATGGATGGCCCCTAACCCTTGATGACTTTATCATCTAATACTATTAGTATTATGTGCCCTTTCCTCTCCGTGATTTAAAAAAAGCAACAACAACAAATCTTTACATTTCTGTTATCGAACTTGTTCATCAATTACTAAACTTAAAGCACTGTTAAAGATGGGCGTCAAATGAAACATATATGATATGCATACTGACCATACGAATATTTCATTAAAGGACATCCGATTATTTAGTTACTAAAAAGGGGTTACCAAGTTAGCTCGAACAGAATTAATCAAAATTAGTATTATATTTGGGACAAAAATTCATTGTTAAAATTTTTTGAAATAAAAGTTAATTAAATATTATTTTTTAAAACTTGAGATTTGTTCACGATCTCCTTTACCTTTATCTTGTTTTAAAAAATACTTATCAAGTAATCATACATATAAAAGTCAAATACTCTCTTACTAGTGGTCCTCAATTTCTCTCCATTTTTATTCTCATTTGTTTAAATTAGTTTTTTAAAATTTATAATTTTACATTAATAATACTTTATTGACTTTATACTTGATTTTTTATTGAAAAATTTGTTTTTTGGACAATATGCACCACATAATTGTGTGAGAGGCACGTTTTTGTTTAAACAAATTAACTTCCGTTTACAAACTAACAAACTGCGCCTTTGTTTCTAAACAGAGACTGAAACATTGTGATCTGAAACGCTAAGTTTTAAATTTCAAATATTTTGTCATTTCTTGTTTTGTATTGTCTGCCAAAGAATTCTTTTAGTTTGTTTAGCCGAAATTTCCGTTTAAATGTTTTTGTCTTTTTTTTTTTTTAAGCCTAAATATATCTTGTGCCCTATTATTTTTTTTAGGACAGGTGAAATATCTTTTCCAAACATTAAAAAAAATATAGGTTTGTTTGTTTGTTGTAAATTAATTGTCCATATCACTGTAGACTGTAGACAAAACTAAAATAATGAGCGTGGTTTTTCATTTTTTAAATTTGTTTTTTGAGGAGCATATAATGCCCTATGAATTATGAAAAAGAGAGGTAACTCATTTTAAAATGTTTATTACCATTAATTTCCGTCTATGAATCAGAAATAGACTAGTCTATATTTTACTATATAGTAAAAAAAAAATAATGCTTTCAAAAAGAAATTTGAAGCAAAATTTTATCGTAAAAACCGAAGAAAAAAAAAAGACTCGACCAAATTTCCGTTCGATCAAATTACCGACGATCAATTTACCGTCGACGAAATTTCTTTCAATCATATTTCCGGATACGGGATAGTGCATACTCTCCGAAAACCCCCAGATAGCATCACCCGACAATCCCTAACATGGAATCCATAGGGAAAAAGAAAGAGAAGAAGGCCTAAGAATACATGGAGACGGAGCTAGAGGCAGACAAGCTAAATATGGGATAGTCTACACCTGGTAGCAAATGGAAAGGAAAAGCACAAGACCTTGATGAATGGAAATTTTTGTGGACGGCCTATGCCCCAGACGGGGTAAAAATGCATAAAAAGAAGCTTTTGTGCTGCTTATGTTACTAGTTTATACGTTCGTTTTTTTGTCTCAGCTTTTTTCCCTCTTTTTTTCCTCCAAATGTTTCTAGTTGATACTTTCGTTGTTTGTCTCAGCTTTTTGTCCTCCAAATGTTTCTAGTTGATACTTTCGTTGTCTGTCTCAGCTTTTTGTCCTCCAAATATTTCTAGTTGATACTTTCGTTGTCTGTCTCAGCTTTTTGTCCTCCAAATGTTTCTAGTTGATACTTTCGTTGTCTGTCTCAGCTTTTTGTCCTCCAAATGTTTCTAGTTGATACTTTCGTTGTTTGTCTCAGCTTTTTGTCCTCCAAATGTTTCTAGTTGATACTTTCGTTGCCTGTCTCAGCTTTTTGTCCTCCAAATGTTTCTAGTTGATACTTCGTTGTTTGTCTCAGCTTTTTGTCCTCCAAATGTTTCTAGTTGATACTTTCGTTGTTTGTCTCAGCTTTTTGTCCTCCAAATGTTTCTAGATTATATTTTCGCTGTTTAGAAGCGCTAATTTACATAGAGAGAATCTACACTGGCACCTCGCGAAAAGGATTCCTCAGAGCTACCAACCACTCAGATCAATGATCAATTAATTGATCGTGGGCCCTCAAAATAATGAAGAAGATATACATCTTAACCGTGTTTATCGCTAAATGGTAGTGGGCAATCCTGACCCCTACATAAACACCTCATCACAAGTATTAGCTAGTGGCGGGGACGAAACGGCTGACTAGAAGACCCGTCATCAGCGGGGGTTGCTTTCTGTCATCGACATTATTTCAATACAATTTTATTTTATATACTTTACTGAATTCTTGCTGGAACCACAGTTATTGTACAGCGTGCCCCCCCCCTTTTTCCCCAAAAAAAAACAAAAAAAAAAAAACAAGTGAGAACATCTCATAGCAAACGGTTATTTAATATAAGTGAATTACTATGTTTTGCCATGTGTGGCCACCGGAAATTGTCATGATAATAAAGTTATATAGATACATAAGTAAATCAGAAAATGTATACAGTTAACAAATGGTGATGTAATTATATTACATTGTAAGAGATGTTATCACTTTTTCTGGGCCACCCTGTATATAAAATAAATAAAGTATTTATTAAATTATTACCAATGACGTAGCTAGCCTCAGTGCCGCCCGAGCTGGGCCAAAATTTCTTCCGCCCCTTCCACGAAAAAAACCTCCACAATTAGTCAAAATGCCGCCCATCCGTGTAAAGAAAATAAGTGCTACCCGGGGCGCACCGCCCCCCCCCCTCTGCACCCCTTTTCCACCGCCAGTGATTATTGTTAACTGTTTACTGTGATGATGATGTCTGCACGTGCGCTACCTAGTTGACTGACTGCAGAAAGCACACGGACTAAAACAATGCGATCTTGGAGTTGATATAAAATACAGTCAGCTCTTTTTGAATGACCTTCCAAGAATTCAGCTAAGCCAGTATTTCCCAACTTTTGTGTGTGTGTGTGTGCCATGCAACCTAAGCATTTCTAAAAATCGTATGCCCCTATGTAGTATACACATAATTTATAATTATATAAAATTTGATTTGTTTTCAA